TCGTCGGAAACCAGGGGACAGGGCAGAGCTCGCGATCTGGGGACAGGCCGGTGTTTAGGCGATCTTCGTCGTAATCCAGGACACAGGGCAGAGCTCGAGATCCGGGGACAGGCAGATGTTCAGGCAATCTTCATCTGAATCCAGGGGACAGGGCAGAGCTCGGGATCACGGGACAGGCGGATGTTCAGGCGATCTTCGTCGGAATCCAAGGGACAGGGCAGAGCTCGCGATCTGGGGACAGGCCGGTGTTTAGGCGATCTTCGTCGTAATCCAGGACACAGGGCAGAGCTCGAGATCCGGGGACAGGAGAAGGTTCAGGTGATCTTCATCGGAATCCAGGGGACAGGGCAGATCTCGGAATCCAGGGTCAGGTGGGTGTTCAGGTGATCTTCGTCGGTATCCAGGGGACAGGGCAGAGCTCGGGATCTGGGGACAGGCTGTTGTTCAGGCGATCTTTGTCGTAATCAAGGGGACAGTTGTGCTTGAGATCCTGGGACAGGCGGATGTTCAGCCGATCAGCATCAAGGGCACAGGGCAGAGCTCGCAATCCGGGGACAGGCGGGTGTTCAGGTGATCTTCATCGGAATCCAGGGCACAGGGCAGAGCTCGGGATCCGGGGGCAGGCGGATGTTCAGGCGATCTTCGTCGTAATCCAGGGGACAGGGCAGAGCTCGCGATCCGGGGACAGGCGGATGTTCAGGCGATCTTCGTTGGAATCCAGGGCACAGGGCAGAGCTCACGATCCGTGGACAGGCCGATGTTCAGGCGATCTTCGTAGGAATCCAGGGCACAGGGCAGAGCTCGCGATCCGTGGACAGGCCGATGTTCAGGCGATCTTCGTCGTAATCCAGGGGACAGGGCAGAGCTCGTGATCTGGGGACAGGCCAGTGTTCAGGCGATCTTCGTCGGTATCCAGGGGACAGGGCAGTCCTCGAGATCCGGGGACAGGCTGTTGTTCAGCTGATCTTTGTCATAATCCTGGGGAAAGTTGTGCTTTAGATCACGGGACAGGTTGATGTTCAGGCGATCTTCGTCGGAATCCAAGGGACAGGGCAGTGCTTGAGATCCGGGGACAGGCGAATGTTCAGCCGATCTTCATCAGAATCCAGGGGACACGGCAGAGCTCGGGATCCAGGGACAGTCGGATGTTCAGGCGATCTTCGTCGGTATCCAGCGACAGGGCAGAGCTCGGGATCCGGGGACAGGTGGGTGTTCAGCCGATCTTCATCACAATCAAGGGCAAATGGCAAAGCTTGCAATCCGGGGACAGTCTGGTGTTCAGGCGATCTTCGTCGATATCCAGGGGACAGGGCAGAGCTAGGGATCATGGGACAGGCGGATGTTCAGGCGATCTTCGTCGGAATCCAGGGCACAGGGCAGAACTCGAGATCCGTGGACAGGCAGATATTCAGGCGATCTTCATCGGAATCCAGGGCACAGGGCAGAGCTCAAGAACCAGGAAGAGGCGAATGTTCAGGCGATCTTCGTCGATATCCAGGGGACAGGGCCGTGCTCGAGATCCGGGGACTGGCGGATGTTCAGGCGATCTTTGTCGGAATCCAGGCCACAGGGCAGAGCTCGAGAACTGGGTACAGGCAGATTTTCAGGCGATCTTCGTCGGTATCCAGGGGACAGGGCAGAACTCGGGATCCAGGGACAGGTGGGTGTTCAGGCGATCTTCGTTGGTATCAAGGGGACATGGCAGAGCTTGTGATCCTGGGACAGGCAGATCTTCAGGCGAACTTTGTCAGAATCCAGGGCACATGGTAGAGCTTGTAATCCAGGGACAGGGAGGTGTTCAGGCGACCTTCATCGGAATCCAGGGGACAGGGCAGAGCTCGGGATCTGGGGACAGGCAGGTGTTTGATCTTCGTCCGTTCTCAGTGATCTAAGCTATATTCGACGTCGGGAAACGCATAATAGTGGTCAGGGCAAAGTAACCGAACGGGGTCGCCGAGTGCTGAGATGTAAAGCACATTAAAGTCGCCGGCGCAACTGCAGAGTTCGGGGAGTGTCAGTCTGCCTATATCTGAGGTCAGTGACACACACATTAGGTTCCTCTGATGCTACTCTCCAGTGTCTCCAGTGATGGGCCTCCTAGTAAGGATCACTTACTCTGGGACAGAGTCTCACTTTCTCTCACTGCAACAGTCAGCATAGTTAAGTTAAAGAGATATGACTGAAAAATTCCAACATATTTTGGGAAATTTACTATGTAAATAAACATATTTTTTTTATTGATACTTGATGCCCACCACCCTATCCAGGATAAACAGTTGGAAGATTGAGGGATGGATGGACGATTCCTGTTGTCATATCAACTTATCTCAATACACTGTTATCATAAAAAGCTGAAGACATAATTTCTTCTTTTGATGTGTCACTTTTGATGGCATTCAGTAGTTTTGTCACTTCCTGTATGCAGTACGTAAAGGTTTGATATTATAACTTACTACTACAAACCAATACAGAGCTAAAGTACTTCAGCATTGATTACATCATTTAAAAAGTAATAAAAGAATAGTTGTCATATGGTATCAGCTCATTGACTCGGTATTCATATGAACAATGTAAAATCACCCGCTCACTGTCATCCACTCTTCCACAGTATGTTAATCCCAAGTATGTGTGTTTTTTGCAGACATTCATTTCCAATCCCATCCTTGTTCTAGTCATGCAACAACAGACCTTCAAAAAAAAAAAAAAAGTCGATTAAATGAATTTGGTTCTGGAAGGAAAACACATTGTGTCTTGGATCTTCAGGACTGGAACTAGCAACAGTAAATTAAGAAGCCTCTTTCTGTCTTAGGTCAAATGGAAGAAGCACTTAAGGCAACCTGAATAGCATTTTAATGAACTTCTAAAAAGGTACATAATCTGTAATGCTGCAGAGAACGTCCACAAGGGGGTAGTAACTGACCTAAAGTTCCCAGCTGGTTTTTGGAAACATACCCAAACTCGATGAAAGCCACGTTGCTTCATTTAATCGGCCGTCTTTATTAGACAAAGAGCTGGGTAGGGGCTCTACGGACCATGTGACTAATAATAATCTATGAAGAAGACTTCACCTTTATTAAAATGCCTCCATTTTTTATCGTACTGCCACTGAAATGGCCCTGTCACCTAAATGTTTTTTAACTCGATTTTATTTGACTCACTGGTGGAAAGATATATGGCTGATTGCTTAGCCTAAAATGGCCTATGAAGGAAACAATCACGTTTGTAGCAAAACAGTGACCTTAACCAGCTCTGAATAATAATGACATTTCCCCATCTGTGATCAGGGCCTGGCTGTCTGCGTTTCTGAGAGTTTCCTGTTGTTCCCCTGGATAATACTGCATTTTTCCATCTTCGTGCATGGGGCTTTAAGAGAGCCCAAAGATTTGTGAGTCACCCAGCAACATTCCAAAAGCTCTTGATGACCCGGACCAGAAGGAGTCGGGGGGAGGGGGTGATCAGACTGATTTCCCAGCCTCAGATCACCGGAATGACGCATTTTCCGAACCCCCTGATCTAAATCGCATTTGCCTGTTTTTATTGCGCCCCAAACACAGCCGTGCCATTAGCCCCATGCATGCCTTCTCGCATAGAGAAAAGCCTTCATTAGTATATTTGCGCAATACATTTAGGCATTGCAGGAATCGGCGTGGGGCTGCCCGGGATGCTGTGGCCTCATCCTAATTGCACCGTAATATCCGGTATGGGCCAAGCTCTGGATGTCGATGAGCAATACATTATCTAGAATAAACACATTACTGACCTGGGTGCTGAGTGCACAGGGATGATAGTCTTTGAATAAACTTACTGACATTGATTAGTGATTAATCATCGTGCTCAGTGACTCGGCACTGTCCACGGAGCGCCAGAAATGCTTGTTTGTTTAGCTGCATTGGGTCCATCTATCTAGAGAAGCCTCCGGCACATTTCCTGGTCGTTAGCCAAATAAATTTGGGCCTGTTCTCAGTACAGCTGAAATAATTTTTTTTTTTTTTATGGTTAATAGTTTAGCATTTACCGGAGCACTTTACCATGTGTGGTTTCTCATTCTGTGCAGTTTGCGTGCAGCGCATTGCAGGTTCTACTGATCAAACATCTCAGGGTGACAGCGCACGCATGGACCCAGCAGAATCGGCATCATCTGCAGATCCCGTCGTTCCGCTCAGGGCCACGGCGCGGACTTACCATGTGCCAGGTGTAACGGACCCTGTTTGCTAAGACGCCACGGCAGCTTTTATGTCACCATCGTGGGCTGTTATTCCTTACGGTTGCAATGTGTTTTTTTAATCCACCCTTTTGCATTTTCGGCAGAGTGTTAAAGGCAGAGACTTCAGACGGGACACGAGGGTGTGTTTGTGCGGTATGCGGACAGGCTGGTCTTCCGAGATCATTTGGCTCCGGCTAGATTCACCGCAAGCAAGATATTCCTAGTACCAGGATAACTGACTCGGGCGAATTTACAGTCCTCAGCTTTAAAAAAATGTATATTTATGCTTTATTTGAAAAGAAAACAGACAGCAAGCAATACCACTGAATAAAAACATCAGAAACAGTGGCTGGTGATTATTAAGAAATCCGGTGATTAGGGCCGTGTTTTTGGGAATCAGAGGCAGCTGGCAGCAGATGCGACCTGGAGAAAAGGCTGTTTTTTGCGCACTGTAATTAAACAGAATTACAGGCCGTTGTGCTGCCAAGCTGGGGAAAGTGGGAAGCAGCCTGATTGCTGAGCACACCTTGCCGCCCAGAGGCTGGCTCTCTGGGGAAGTGAAGGGCCGCTGAGGGTCCAGCAACACCGCCAGGTGGCCAATTAGCAATTAGCAGGCTGAGCTCTTAAGTACGAGACTTGATATCGCAGCAGTGCCGCTGCCAGCTATGCCCCCACCCCCCAAAAAAACCCAATAATCACCGAAAGACATATTGGACTATTTAGTTATATTGTTAACGTGTCTTTTACCTTCTTTAGCATGCTTGACAGCTTTCACCAACACACCCTCCGATCAACAACTTTTTCCTATTTACTCTGCCCAAACCCCAGATGCCATCCAACACTGTGCTACCCCTTACCCATCACAGCATGGCAATGCGTACTAAAAGATTTTTATGATAATTGTTTCATATTTTGTGTCTTTACTTGTCTCCTGTCACGACCGCAATCAAGTAACCAGGCATTTCACTGCACCTGAACTGAGTATATCTGTGTATGTAACCAGTACAATATGAATTGGTTGATTTATCGCTTAATTGATTGATTCTGAGAGGGATCTGAAAGTGGACAACAGGACAACCCCCTGAAACAGATGGGAGATTCGCCGTGTAATTCGTGAACAAAGTGGCATGTGGGGATGAGCCCACCTGATGCAGACTTCATTCTGCTTTCTTTCTTGCTTCTCACGCTTAATTGACCGGAAATGCATAAAAGACACGGCATGGGGCTCGTACAGGACGGATTTAAATTAGAAGTTAATTATGGCTGGTGTGTTTTTTTCTGCTGCTGCTGTTTATTTAATAGCCAAAGGCTGGCATAACGACGGCAGTAATTAGAGCACAGATCGCCCAGCGCTCCGGCACAAATTTGCGGTGCACGGCGCCGTGGCTGATTGCCGGCGCGTTACTGCTGCGTATCAGGGAAGCCGGTAAATGAATAGCCTGCTGGTGGGCTGCGAGCCTGGACTCCTGGGGTCCCCCATGAGAGGCAAACGGGGGCGGGGGACCTAGATGGAGCCAGGAAGGGCTTGGCGTTTGGGGCTCCGTTTTCTCGCAGATGCTTTCCACTGCGAGTGAGTTTGCAATGGCTATAACAGCTGAGACTTTTCAGGGGCTGCTGCTCAAATCCTTTGACGCAAGAGGACGGTAAAAAAGGTGTTGATTCTTTAAAGGGGCATTCTGTATCTTTAAAGGGAAGTAATTTAATTAGTTTGGGCAGAAGGGGCAAGTGACAGCAGAGGGGGTTGGTCTACAGCGAAATTGCAGCTTAACATACACATGGAGGACCTGAACGGTGCCATCAGCTATGGTCGATGTCTGTGAACCCAATGGACTTGGATTGGCCTGTTAAAGGCTAACCCTGGACAGCTCTATAATCACCGTGAGCATGTTTGAATCTCACCATGAAAGAAGACCATACAAATGTTATAACAGACTGCACTCAAAAACCAAAAGGACCACGGGGGTGAAAACAAAGCAGGTAAATGACAAAAACCCAAAGGCCAGCAGCAAACACCCAATGATTGAGTGAGGAGCAAGGGAAACGGCAGGCACATATGTACACTGTGTGCAGAATTATTAGGCAAGTGGATTTTCTCTCTTCACCATCGACAGAAATAATAAGAAACATTTTTGTTATTCAGTATATATAAGGAATATCAAGCTATCAGCCGTTCTATACAGCCCACTTCACCCAGTTTAATGCCAAATACAGCCAACTCTCTTCTCAATGACCATCATGAGCCTGTTGCCCACTGAACCAATCAGGTTTTTGATTTGATCCTGTCCTATATTAGCTGAGCCAGCTAGGACCACCACCTAGAAGCTACTCTGAGAAGGGTACTGCTTGCTACTTTGGTAAATCTCACACTTTGGTGAGGCCCAATACTTCTCAATGGGGTTGAGTCAGGCGATGAAGGGGGGCAGGTCATAATTCAATCACGTTTCAAGCCTTGCTAGGCCAATCTATGAAATTCTTTGATACACAGGAGGGACATTCTCTTGTAGGAATATCAAAACCTTTTAGAAAGCTGCTAACTTCTTCTTGTGCCAGTGTTTGAAGAAGGTATCTTCTTTTAAACTGGCAGTAGACCTTGTGGTTAATTTTTACACAATCAGCAAGTCAGAAAGGTATGACAAGTTCATCACTGATAATTGCAGTCCACGTCATCTCTCCTCCATCACCTTCTTGGTGCTTGAAGAGGACCTCCATCCACTGGCCCATCCATCTGCTCCATCAAGAGTCACTTTCATCTCATCTGTCCCAAAAACCTTTGTACCATCACTCTTGAGACATGTCTGTGCCCATTCTTAATGTTATACCTTACATGCCTCATTGAGTGGAGGCCATGTTTCAGCATTTATGACCTTAGGAAAGTCACGTAGCACACTGCACCTAGAAGGTCTGGAGATTCTGTTCAGATTGCAGTTTTGAAAAATGACGGCATTTGATGATGAGTTTCTGGAAGTCTCCCCTTTAATTTGTCACAGAACTTTGGCAGTTTATGTGTGTCATCTTCTCTCTACAAGCCTCTTCAGTCCTCTTTGGCTGTTGGCAACAAAACACTTGATTGTACAGTGACCACATTTCAAAATTCTGGCAGATTCGATCGTTTTGCATCCCTCTGACTGGCA